TGCAGGTCGGCTGCACCCTACACCCGACCACGAAGTCGGCTTCGCCCAAGCGAGGACGGGGCCAACATACAACTCCCGTTGAGATGTCTAACCAGACACCACCTCCACTGCTTCGCCGAGCCAGCCGTTAACTAACAGCCTCGTCTGTGTTCCCTCGTGCAGGCCTCTAATCCAGCCGACAAACCTGCTGGGAAAGCCCATCCTTTCCAACACCGTGAACAGATAATTCCTCGAGACCGAGTCAAACGCCTTCCTGAAGTCCACAAGCAGGAGATACCAGTCCTTCTCCTTATTTTTGGCGGCATCAAGCACGTCCGCGACGAGCCCCACCGCATCAGACAACCTCTGCCCTGGCAAAAAGCCATACTGCTCGGGCGAGATCACTTCATGCAGAAACCGCTTCATCCTATCCGCGACCACCCTCGCCAGCACCTTGTAAGTGAAGCTCAGAAGAGTAATCGGCCTGTAGTTCTCGATTTGGTCGCGGCCGCCTTTTTTGTGTAACAAAATAGTGACCGCGTCCTTCGTGCTTGCGGGTATCGACGAGGACGCGGTGAAAATTTCCATCAGCCCCATGAAATGTTTGCCCAGGACGTCCCAGTGCGTCTTGAACAGCTCTTTAGGCAACCCGTCCCTGCCCGGAGCCTTGTTCTTCGCCATCGAGCGGAAGGCCTGCTTCACCTCCTTTTCCGACCAATCCGCCGCCACCCTCTCTCATGCCGTTGGCGACAAGACCCTTCCATCAACTGGCTGCCAGTCTGTCAGGGCCTTCTGTCTGTCCGTCCCGAAGAGATCTCTGTAGAGTTGAGAAGCCACGCCTAGGATCTCCTTGTTTTCAGTGACCAGAACCCCCCCGGCACTTAACTCCTTAATCTATGTCTTTTCCTTCCTGGTTCTGATTTTTGCAGACAGGTGCGGGGAAGCCACCTCCCCCATGACCACCTCGTTCATTCCGGCCATCACATGAAGCCTCTCTTGCAGTGCCAGCCGATAGCTTTTCAGCTACGCCTCCCTCTCATCTAGCAGCTCCTTCAGCCGAGCACATCTCGGGTCACCCAGCCAGGCCTGCTTCAAGTCAGCTACCGTGCGCTGAAGGTGAGCCAACGTGGCCCTGATGCGCTTCCTCTCCTCCATCGCGTACGCTCTGAGCCCGGCGTTTAACCTTGATAGCAACAACTCAAAATCATCGCCATTAGCTGCAACTTGCTTCTCTACCACTTCGATGACCTTTCTGACCCCTGGCCTCCCGATCATATATGCAGGAAGCCTCCAGAGGCCTGGCCCCATCTGCACCTTCGTATTCATCCGGAAAGCCGCCTTCACCGCAAAGCTGTGATCCGAGATGGGATCTGCCGGCATGATATGCGAGGCAAACTCCGCGTGCGGCAGCAGCGACTGTGAGATAAGCACCCGATCGATTCGTGGGCTGGACTGATTGGCACACGAGCAAAAGGTAAACTCCCTCCTGTAAGGGTGCAGCACTCTGAAAGCATCCGACACGTTGAAAGCACTGCACCGCTGGTACAGAACATCGTTCTCCTTCGTTGTCCCTTTCTTTGATGTCCTGTCCAGCAGCGGGTCCTCCACCAGGTTGAAATCCCCTACTATACGCAGGTGAGCGCCGGGATGCACCGCGTTACCACCGGCCCCAACACCCTGCTGGTGAAATGTTTCCTGCCCGTCACATCTGCCGGGAAATACACTGCTAACAGGGTGATGTGGAAGAAGTCGAGATGGATGTCTGTCCTAATGAGTCTTGCGGACGGGTGAATGAGTGTATTATGCAGCGAAAGCCCATGCCTGCGACAAACCAAGGCCACTCCCCCGGCTTTTGCAGTTGGGGGGGCGACAAGAACCGATGGGTGAGTAATGACTTCCAGCATGGGTGATCATCCGTGAGTCTGGCGTCAGCGAGTACTGTGATATCAGCAGCTTGTTTTAATTACATTTTTGTGCGCTGTTGCTTGTTCCCATCTCCCGGGCCGTTGACATTTAGGCCCGCCACTGACAAGGGACTCTTGTTACTCATTTAATCACTGCTAAAAAGCCTCTCCGCATCCACAGGTTGGTGAAACTAACGAAAACAACCACACGACAATCGACTACCGCAACTGCTCTACTCCACCACAGGCCAGTAACGATAAGCCATCTCAGATCCCGAACTCATTGCGGATGACATGCAGACCGAGCTTCTTCAGGGAACTGCGAGTGGCCGCACCTAGCTTCTCCAGCCCCAGCAGGTGACTTGCCGAGGTAATATGGTCTGCCGCCACCATGAATGACTTGCCATGAGCCTTTCCGCAGCATTCGAGAGTACACAGCCACTCCTCCCGGTTGCTTCCCGTGGAGATCAGCACAAAAGCCGCTGTCAGAATGTTATTATTGTCTAGCCTGTAGTGGGGTGCTCTATAGCGAGTACAACCCAGTTAGGGTTTGCTATATGTACCCCAACTGCTGCTAGTGAAACCCCTCTCCTTTCAATCATTCTTGCCTAGTTCTGTTGAAATGCTATCAGAGCAGGTCGACCCCCTTGGGTCGATCCTGTGGGTGGGCCCGCCACCTAACTGCTTCCGCTGCTATTCTGCTTCTCGCACGCCTCGGGCGCGCGCCGTCTTCTTCCTGCGAAAAATTTTAGGGTTTTTCATCCCGCCGTGCGCTCAGGGCGTACGGCGGTTTTCTGCCCGCCGTGCGCCCCGAGGCGCGCGGCGGTTTCCTGCCCGTCGTGGCGCCCCCGGGGACCTGCGCGCTGCCCCCCGTCGTCCTCCTCCCGTCGCCTCGTCGCGGCGCCCTGGGGGCCCGCGCGTCCCCCCCCTCCCGTCGCCTCGTCGCGGCACCTTGGGGGCCCGCGCGCCGCCCCCTCCCGTCGCCTCGTCGCGGCGCCTAGGGGGCCCGCGCGCGGCCCCTCCCGTCGCCCGTCGAGCCGCCCTCGGGGGCCCGTGCGCGGCCCCCCTCCCGTCACCCGCCGTGGCGCCCTCGGGGGGCCCGCGCCCTGCTTCTTCGTGGCGCCCAAGAGCCACCCCGCTGCCTCCCTTTCCCTCCGTGCCCCGCCCCTGCTGTTTCCCGCGCTCCTGCCTGCGTTAGGGTTTGGGGGTGGCGGGCATGGGGGTGACCGGTGTGGGTAACCTGCGGCTCCTCCTCCTCCTCCGTCTCCCACTGCTGCAGCTGCCGCTGAGGGGGGTGGGTGTGTGGGAGCCGAAGGTTTAGGGTTTAAGGGGGGTGCCGTGGAAGTGGAGCTAGGGTGTCAGCAGGGGGTGTGTGAGAGGGGCGTGGGACGGTCGGGGGAGGTTGCGTGGAGGTAGCCGTCGTGACGCCAGCAGCGCCAGTAGTCCGGATGCCCTCGCGCGTTTCGGTAGCCCAGCGAGCCTGCTTCGCCAGTCGCCTGTGGGTCCGTTGCTCTTGTGTGTGCTCGTCGTAGCCGCGGAGCCAGATACTCCCGTAGTCCGGTGCCCTCGTGCGCTCGGTAGCCACTGTGCGCGCCGCTCCTGTTGCCCGTGTGTCTGCAGCTTCAGTCGGCGCCTTTCATCTTCTCGCCCTCACAGTTTCTCCTCCTCCTCACTTGCCCTCTATGATCACCTCTAGCTTTGCTTATAATTGTGAACTATTGCTATGCCTGCTCATTGTACTGATTACACCCCACTTTGGCTATGGGGGTGTGTCAGAATGTTATTATTGTCTAGCCTGTAGTGGGGTGCTCTATAGCGAGTACAACCCAGTTAGGGTTTGCTATATGTACCCCAACTGCTGCTAGTGAAACCCCTCTCCTTTCAATCATTCTTGCCTAGTTCTGTTGAAAGCCGCGTCTAGCAACAACGGGGTGGTGAGCGTGGAAGCGCGGAGAGAGGCAGCTGTGAGAGGCAAGCGGCGCGTCAGTAACCGTCAAGACAGATAAAGCAAAGCGACAACCCGAAAAAGGTAAGATGCTGTTACCGTTGATCCTATGAACTCGTCCCACAGTTATACTCAACTTCCCTATGTTATTCTGATGCTCTATGATGAAAGCATTATGAAACTTGTCATAATGGTGTCCACCGTTCAATGTTCTCCTGATGAACGCATACCGTATTCTCCCGGATATAGGACCCTCCCGAAAAAAAGACCCCCGGGACTTTTGAACGGTACAGGGACTCTTAATATGTACGCTATATGAGAGGACCCCCCTTTTGCTATAAAACATTTTAAGACCCCCCTTTTCTGTATACACTAGTCAAAATTGAAAATGCGCGTCAGCTTTTAGAGGCACAGAATCCGAAATCTGACGCGTCATTTGTGTCAGATTCGGGTTCTGACACACCAATCATGTCAGATGCGAAACCTGACACTCTTGACGCGCCGCTCGCGCGAGTTTCGCGCACGCGAGATTTTTTCGGTTCGAATATAAGACCCCCCCCTAAAGTGTACACCCCTAAATCGCATAAGTGTACATGATTATTAAGTGTACCCGGGACTCTTACAACTCGTTCCGATTAAATGTTCACCCTAGTCATTTTGCCTCTATTTTAGGAAAGTCCCCCGGGTCTTATATCCGGGAGAATACGGTAAGTAGTATAGTCTTCTTCGTAAAGGTGTAGCGAATCCAAAGCTGGTTATATTAAAGCCAACTGATGAACATGCTTCACGCAACGTGCGTTCCAGGCAATCGGTAGGCAGCCATGGCGGCGAGCTCAAGGCTGTCATTGTCATTGTCATTTTACTAACACCCTAGTAATAACTTCGAATGCAATTTTTGCTCTAGTCGAGCCGTCAAGTTTCGGATGCAAGCCCTAGTTATTGTCGTCTGCTGTTGCCGAATCGATCTTCCAGCAGAGCCGGTTTTACCCTTCGTCGCGCATACTTGGCCCTCACATCGCACTTCCCCCTCGCCGCAGGCAGTGTAACGTCGCCGAGCACTGCAGAGAGGCCACGCGGTCGCAACTGACCGGACCGATAGCGACAAACCGCCATCGTCCGGGCGGCATCACGCGCGCAGCCTCGCGCGGCCGCCGCGCCCAATCGCCCCGCCAATGGCGTCGCCCGCCAAGCCATCGTGGAAGCGGCGGTGGGCGGCGGAGGCGCATCTGCGCGGGCATCGCGCGGAGGTGACGGCGCTCTGCCACCACGCCGCCTCCGACTTCCTGCTCTCCGGGTGCGCCCCTCGCCCCCCACTCTCCCGGCCCCCACTCGGCCCCCATTTTTCCCCCCACTCATCCCCCACTCACCCCTCACTCGCCCCTCACTCGCCCCTCACTCGCCCCTCACTCGCCCCCCACTCGCCCCCCCCCCTCGCCCCCCCCTCGCCCCCCACTCGCGTCGCCCTCCCCATGTCAAACTCCCCTTCCATCCCTCGCCACCCGTTCGACCTGCTCCCTCACCTCACCTCACCTCTCACTCGCCCTCATTCCCCCCTTCCCTCCCCTCCCACTCATCTCCGCTCCCTTTTCAATCCCCCCCATCCCATCCGCACCTCCCCCCGGCCGTGTTGTGTGCGCCGGGCGGGCGGCGAGGCAGCGACATGGAGGGCGAGGTGAGGGCGTGGAGCCTCGCCACGCACCGACCCGTGGCACGCCACAGGTGGGGGACGAGGGAGGAGGGCACGAGGGCGCGAGGGTGCGCGGGAGGGAGGAGAGGGGGGCGTGGAGTGTGTGGGGAGGAGAGGGGGGCGTGGAGTGTGTGGGGAGGAGAGGGGGGCGTGGAGTGTGTGGGGAGGAGAGGGGGGCGTGGAGTGTGTGGGGAGGAGAGGGGGGCGTGGAGTGTGTGGGGAGGAGAGGGGGGCGTGGAGTGTGTGGGGAGGAGGGGCCGGGGGTGTGTGGCAGCAGGGAAGGGGGGGAGAGGGAATGGGGCCTTTGTCTGCAATCGCCCCCACACACCGCCCTCCCTACCCACCAGTTCTTCTCATCCCTTCTTCCTCTCTCCTTTCCATATTCTCGTCCGTCCCTCTCCATTCTGTCTTCACTTAAACCTTGATCACCCCTTGTCCCCCCGCCCTCGCGCATCTCCCTCCCCCCGCCCTTGCCGTGCTGCAGGCTGCACGGGTCACATGCGGGCATCATTGCAATGGACGCCGTGCCGCCGGCCACCGTTGCTCCCTCGCTCGCTCACTCCCTGCTCACGTACGCTGCCTCCCTCAACCCCCCCGTCATGCCCTGCCTTGCCTTGCCCTGCACGCTCTGCCTTGCCTCGCCTTGCCTTGCCCTGCCATGCCATGCCATGCCATGCCATTCCATGCCATGCCATTCCACGTCATGCCATGCCTTTCCATGTCATGCCATGTCATGTCATTCCTTGCCATCCCGTACCGTCCCATGCGATGCATGCGATGTGCGGTCCCCACATCGACCAGCACACAGCATCTTAACTTCCTTAAACCCCTCTCTCCCCCACAGCACAGCCCTCCTCTCCTCCACAGCTACTTTCCCTCACAGCTCCTCTCCTCTCTTCCCCGCTCTCTGCCTTCACTGCACGCCTTCCTCTGTGATCAGGCAGGCAGGGCCGGGACGGTGTGGTGCGGTGCTGGGCGGTGGAGAGTGTCACCTCTGCGAGCAGCGGCAGTGCAGCGCCCCCCTCACCGCTCTTCACCGTCCACACGGGCGCCTTCACCTTGTGCCGCATGGCTCTGCCCTCCCTCGCCTCCCCTGCCCCCTGCCACCCACCACCACCGCCACCCTGTGACGGTGCGCTGGTGTCAGCCCCGTGCAGCGGTGCCAGTGAGCCCCGTGCAGCACACGCACGTGCTGCTGGGGCACAGCAGGCGGGGGAAGGTGATGGGAGGGGGGGTGAGGGGCGAGGGCGCGGGGAGCCACGCAGGGGGCTGTTGAGTGGTGCGCTTGGCGCGGTGGAGGGCGGCAGGTGCGAGGGCGGCAGGGCAGAAGGGGAGGCACTGGAAGGGGGGAGCACAGGCGAGGACGGGCGAGGAAGGGAGGAGGTGGGGGCAGCAGCGAGTGGCGTGCTCCCTGCTGTCTTGGCAACTCCCTGTGACGACAACTGCACTGTACGCATTGCGCATTCCACCCCACTCAATCTTCATGCTTCTATTCACTGCCCTCATGCCCCGCCGCCCCCTGCCCACACGCCCCCTTTTCTGCCCACACGCCCTTTTCCCTAGCCCACTCGGCCTCTTTTCTTTTCCAAATGCCCCTCTTCCCCTCCTCAAATGCCCCACTGCCCTTCGCCACATGCCTCCTTCCCTGCCCACATGCCTGCATCCCTGCCCCACATGCCCTCCTCCTTGCCACGTCCCCCCCCTATGCCCCCTCATGCCCCCACCCAGGTGGCGCTGTGGGACCTGCGCCATCCCACGCGCCGCTCGCTCTCCATCGGCTCGCCTCAAGGCTTCCCCCACGCCGCCCCTCATCCCCACTCCGCTGCTTCTGCCGGTGCGCTCCTTGCCCTTCCTGCATGTCCCCTCATCATGCTCCACTCGCTGCTAACAACAAGCGTCTCTGCAGTCGCTCTCTGCCTGACCTGCACGCCACTCTCTCTGTCGTGTCGGCTCTCTCTGCTCCACTTGCCCCGCATCGCCCCAACCCCACCAGGTCTGCCCATGGCGCTGCATCTCATGCTCAGCCCCTCCGTGTCGCCCGCGCTCTTCCTGCTCGCCGGGTGTGCTCACCCACCTTGCGCTCACCCACCTTGCGCGTGTGCTCACCCACCTTGCCCCTGCTGCCTGCTCTGCTCTCCCTGCTGCTCACTGCTTCATTCCCGCACCTACCACATCCATCACTCTACCCCGACTCACCCCCCCGTCACCTCCCTCACCACGCACTACCTAAACCCTTCTCACCCCCTCACCCTTCTGATCCCCCTCACCCTCCACCTTCCGCGTCCCCCCACTGCTCCCCTGTGTGCCGGGCAGCTACGAGGACGGCCGCATGGCCCTGTGGGATGTGCGCCGCCCCGACCGCCCTCTCACTGCAGTGCGCCTGCACTCCCACCCAGGTGGGCGGCACTCCCACCCAGGTGGGCGGCACTCCCACCCAGGTGGGTGGGCATTCAAAGCGCCTGTGTCTATCAGAGTGTCGGTGCCATTGCCTGTTTCCACCTAGGTGCTTCCTCCCTCACTCGTGCCTCCGTTTGATCAACCCATGCCCTGCAACCCCCTGTGTGGCGGGCAGCAGTGCAGAGCGTGGCGGTGTGGAGCAGTGGCGAGCACGGCGTGTCAGGCGGGGCGGACACAGACACCGTCTTCTTCCGCCTCTCCCTCTCCCAGGTAACACCCGGCCCCCACCTCTCCCAGGTAACACCCGCCCTCCTTGCACCCTCGCTCCACCCTCACACCCGTCTCACACAGCACCCGTCACAGCACCCTTCGCAGCCTCCACTCCACACGTCACTGCAGCGAGTGTGTCCGCCACGCACTCAGTTACCTGACGTGGCATCACATTATCCTTGCACACATCATGCGCACGTTTTCCTCGATGCCCATCCATCCCCACTTAATGGCCCCCTCTCTGTCCCCCTGTGCCCCACTCCGCGCCCCTGTCACCCCCCACTGTGCCTCTTTTTGCGCCGCTCTCCCTCCTGTGTCCCGTTTTGCACCCCTGTGCGCCCCTGTGTGCCCCTGTGCGCCCCTATACCCGCTGCAGGGCAGCATGGAGGTGGTGAAGCGGGTGCGGGCACAGCAGCCCGGCACCGCTGCCATCGCGCTGCACCCCGCGGGAGGGGTTGCGGCCACGGGGGGCTGGGATGGCAGCGTGCGCCTCTATGACTGCGCCCACCATCACAGCCCTCGCCCTGCCGCCCACCTCACCCACCACTCTGCTGCTGTATGCGTTATCACTCTCCGTTAAGCACCCTTGCAACCATGCACCATCCGTCCATCCATTAGTCCATTCGACCATCCGTCCATCTATTAGTCCATTCGATCATGCATCCATGCATCCATGCACACATGCACCCATGCACCCATGCGTCCATGCGTCCATGGACCTATGCACCCATGCACCCATGCATCCATGCATCCATGTATCCATGCACCCATGCAATGGACCCATGCACCCATGCACCCATGCAACCGTTCATCCATGCGTGCATGCAACCGTTCGTCCATGCGTGCATGAAATCGTGCGTCCATGCGTGCATGCAACCGTGCGTCCATGCGTGCATGCAACCGTGCGTCCATGCGTGCATGCAACCGTGCGTCCATGCGTGCATGCAACCGTGCGTCCATGCGTCCATGCAACCGTGCGTCCATGCGTGCATGCAACCGTGCGTCCATGCGTGCATGCAACCGTGCGTCCATGCGTCCTTGCGTCCGTGCGTCCATGCAACCGTGCGTCCATGCGTGCATGCAACCGTGCGTCCATGCGTCCTTGCGTCCGTGCGTCCATGCAACCGTGCGTCCATGCGTCCATGCAACCGTCCGTCCATGCGTGCATGCAACCGTGCGTCCATGCGTGCATGCAACCGTGCGTCCATGCGTGCATGCAAGCGTGCGTCCATGCGTGCATGCAACCGTGCGTCCATGCGTGCATGCAACCGTGCGTCCATGCGTGCATGCAACCGTCCATCCATGCGTCCATGCAGGTGACAGCAGTGGTGTTCACGCCGGACGGCCAGCTGTGCTCCGCATCACGTGATGCCACCATCGCTCTCTGCCGCGCTCGCTGACTCCACACGTGCCGCAAGGCTGACACCCGGGGCCTATGATATCAGGGTAAATTACCCTAATTACCTTGATTTCAGGGTTCAGTTAGCACCCCTGCCCTTAAGTTTCAGGATGTCTGTAGTTAATACCCTGAGATTTCAGGATGTTTGTTGCACACGACCTTGAGAATTCAGTGTGTTATACACCCACGTGCCCTGAGGCCTCAGGGTGTTTTTATCGCACACCCTGACACAGATACAATGTGCGTGCGCTTAGGGGGGCCCATGTGTGCGTTCCGTGATTTCCGTAATTTCGTGCCGAGAACACGCAAGTCACCCCCCCCACCACTCACATTGACGAGAAGTTTGCCCACGCGGGGTAACTTACAGCAGTGCAGCAGGCGTGGCTGCACGGTACCCCTCTAACACCCACCAGCGCCACCATACACACTTAACCGTGTTCACAAAGCTACACGTCTGCTTGCGCATGGCCCAAACTGGCCAATCAAAGCGCATAGTTAGGCAAGTCCCCGCGTGAAGGCCATGTGCGCTGGCATTGCCCGAAGCGTCCGCCACCTCCCATCACCCCATCTCATGCAGTGCATGTTGCTACCACCAAGCCAGCTCGTCCTTGCCATTTCTTTACCTTGCCGCCACCTTTCTTGGAGAAGCTGCTAGAGCCGCCACCTTCCTTTCCATCACGATTCGTTGCTCGGCAGGCTGGGTAGTAGTATGCACTGCGATTTCCTCACGCGCCACCTCCCCCTATGGCGGATTCTAGCCAACCAAACCACCCAGACCGAACTGCATCTGCTTCTGTAAACACCAATAAAGGCGTAACGGGCCTTGATTTTCTCCGTCCCGCGGCCGTTGTTGCAAACATGGCCCTCACTCCTCTGCATGTCGTGATTTCGACCCAAACAGGTGCGACACGTGCCCCTCATACACGCGCGACATCAGTGCCTGTTCAAGAGCCTTCTCTTCCAGGTCCATCTAATTGGGATGCGCCTACGTCTGAAACGGGCCCCGCTGGCGAGTCGTTGAACCCTCCCAGGTCAATACCAAGCCCCACACCAGGAAGGCGGATGAGTTCAAAAGTCGGGCTGAAGCTCATATTGCACCGATTTAGGCAAGACCAGATTTCATTCCATCGTGCCTGCTCAGGATCTTCGGCCGCCACCGCGTCACTGTCCCCAATCGCCGGCCCCTCTACTCCTTCAACGGCCACCTTCCATTCCGATCGTGGACGAGGCTGAGCTGAAGTATCAGGACGCGTTGTACCAATTCACCAAGGAGTGGTCAAACGATTACTCTTGGCTTGGTTTGTTGTCAGACGCCATCCGCCTCCAAAGTATCTGTTGAATGCAGTGTTTGTGTGGTTCAAGGTGTAATAGGGACTAACTACGGCGCGTTGGGCATGGTGCAATTGACGTTCAGACCCAAGCTTTCCGGACTTATCAAAGGACGACAAAGCATCGTTGTGCCATGAAGGATCAGGATAGGGCGGAAAGGAAGGCAAAGGGACAGGCCCTAATCGACGACATTCCCACAGTGTACGACATCGAGAAGGTGCTGTGTGATCTCTCTCTTGGAGGCACTGCTCTTCATATGCCGACAAGACGCGCCGATCAAGATGTGGATCGGTGAAGCATTTCGCCGACCGCCGCACTCCCGGATTTCCTAAGAAAGGATATGGTGCTTATTACACCACGTAAGTATTGTGTCTGCGATATGTTAATGTCATTCAGATATGTGGTTCAAGCCGTTGGGTATGGTTTAAACTTGCTCCAGGTACGGTTTTGGGGAGCTAACGACAGCCACAGCGACATACCTCTGTGCGTGCCAACGAGAACACATCGAGGCGTCACCGTTCATCAGCATTACGTGCGACGAGAGTATTAATAGAGTGCGCGGGAAGCACATGATAGTTTTCGTCACCTTTCTGCGAGATCGTCAAGTCGTAACCGAGTACATGTCATTGCTGACCATTAACAAGTGCGATGTCAAATCTCTCTTCTCTCTGCTCCTGTCCCACTTCGAGACAATTGGCCTTGACTTGAACTAGATCGCAGGGCATTTTGACGGATGGTGCCTCGGTCATGTTCGATTTCACTGGCGGTTTGGTGGCACGGCTTTGGTTGCGGCTGCCGCATCTCGCATCGATGCACTGTGTCGCTCGCCACACTGCAGCTTCGCTGCATCGGATTTTTTTAAGACTGAAGGGACTAATCCTGGTCATGATGTGCACGTGGCAGGGAAGCGCTTGCAGCACAGGATGCTGCGCTGGTGGTGCCCGACCTGGGCTTGATCAATGTCATGGTTCGTGCAGTGTGTGACATCCTCGGCAAGTCACATCCATAGCATGCGGTTTTCATGTGCCTCCATGAAACGTTCTTGCAAACGAACCTGGAGGTGCAGGGCACCGAGGCTGTGGAACGACTATGCGACGTACTTCCGGAGGTGTTCGTTCTTCTCCCAGATTACAACGCACCCATCTTCCACGTCGCGACGTCACTGAAGTTCCACATGTACCTGTTTTTTCCGGCGGACCTTCTTGAAGAGCTGAACAACCTCAACATGATGTTCCAGCAACGCGAGGTGTGCAGGACCTAAGCCAGGCAAATGTATTTACCACACCATACATATATCATAGACGTTGCTCTAAACTCACTTCTCTCTGTACTGTATCCATGCTCCCTTGTGCCCACATAAGGTCGATCCCATGGGTGTGCAGTCCCTGGTCCGCCGCATAGCCATCTTCGTCCGTGACTCTGGGGAACATTTTGGCACGGATACAAGCAAGCGCCTGTTAGCCTTCCTCGCGCGTCACTCGTTAAGCCGCACCGTCACGGTAGAAGGCGTGGATGGTGATGGATGCCCTCGATGCCACACCTTTCGCTTGCATGAGGAAGAGCTGACGGGGTACAGCAACACGCCTGGCGGCCTGGAGTCCTGCCGTTTGTATGGGCTTGCAGAAGTGGACAATCTGCAGCGGAGATTCAATGACCTTGATACCTTGGACGGCGGTAAACTGTTCATGCCCGAAACTTGGCTGCAAGACACAGTTAGACGGAACGAGGACTGCGTGGCCCACCTGGATTCTCTATTCCATCTGTTCCACATCGGCGAGAGGGGGGGGGTGCTTCCTGGTGAGTTGCGGATGTGAGCGTACGTTTTTGCAGCAAGCGTAACCATGATCTAACATTTCAATTTATGCCCTCTTGCCTTTGAGCTATGATACAGGTGTGGACAAATGATTGGCAAAGAAGGAGCTTAGGACACTGGTGCCTGTGCTCCAAAAAGCTCCTCGTGGAGAGCAAAGCTTCCATGATGGCCTGGCAACACTTCTCAAGACAGGCGACTGGGAGAAAAGCTACCCGAACCTTATGAAGTTGTGGGTAGCAGTCGCGGTCCTCCCCCTTAGCACCGTGGAGTGTGAAAGGGGATTCAGCAGGCAAAATACAATCAAAAGCTGGCACAGGGTGAGCCCGTGCAATGGAAAGCTTGGCGACCTTATGTGCCTGAGCATGCTGGAGTATGAGATGGAGTGGGATGAGGTGGTGAAGATATGGCGTAGAAGCAAGAAGCACCGGCCCACCCATAGGAAGGATTCCCAGCGCGAGAAGTAGCAGCAGCATCGGTGGGCCAAGGGCAAGGAGAAGGTCGTAGAGGTAACCAATTGAGACGAGGAGAGCAGTAGCAGTAGCAGCAGCAGTTCTAGCTCTTATGGGGAGAAATACTAGGCTGGTTGGTAAAGTGCAGTGCAGTGCAAAGAAGTTTGTGAATATTGAACCTCACAACTAGGTAGGAGTTTCTAGTAACCTGGTGTAACAACGTGAAATTGAACACCTAGTATTAGAAAATGCAATTCAGGGTGACAAAAAAAATGCCCTAATGCTTCTGGGTCATGCATTGTAGAGCACATCTGTTGGTGGACGCCAGGCTGTGTGAGAAGCTCTAGACCTCTGGTTAAAAGGTGAATTACCCTTATGACACATACTGGGGTAGATAAGTTAATTGTATTTTGCAGATGTGCTTATCAGGTTGATGAGAAATGGTGAAATGGTATTGCAATTTACCTCAACCCTGACGTACAGCGGGACGTTGGGGGTCCTGAGTGCGCATTCCTAGAATATCCCTAGTTAAGGCTAAGCACAACTAACGCTACAGAACGAGGCCAGAGACCACTGGATCCATGCTCTGTTATGTCACGCTTCAGAAACAGTGGAGTCTGTTATGTCATGCTCCTATGAAAAAGAAAATCAGGGATGAATATTTGTATACTCTGATTAAATCAGTGTTTACAAATTGATGAGTGTAAAGATTCAGGGCCTGATGCCCAACATGTCTGAATTCTCAATCTGATAAAAACAGGCCCGATTACAAGGTTTAAAGCCACATTGAGCCTCCCAATTTGTTATTGTGTACCGAACCTCTGGTGTGGAACTTGTGCGAGCATTACTCATGTGTGCACAGAAACGCTGAACTGGCTGTGCGCTAGCGAACATTCCACGACCTTGTTTTCACAGGCAAACCTGCCGCACACCCTGTGCAAGTCCCATATGCCCCTTTCGCAGCGGACAAGGACTGCACAAGCTGTGCGGGGCTGCTAGGAACACCCAGGAAAAGTACAATTTTGGGGTATTTTTTAAACCCATGGCCCGGGCAGTCAGCAAGAACCAGAACGTACATTGGAAGGCAAGGGATCTTCCATATTGTTAAGCATGCCCGAAATGGTTTGAGGATGGCAAAAAATGTTGGAGGCTGTCCTAGCGTGAACACCGAATCGCACTTTGAAGTTGCATAGTGCGCGGGTTGTTTCTTTTGTGCAATTCAGCAGGTGTGCACTCCTGTGTCGAAGCCTCCGGTCGGGGCGCATTGCTTGTGTGTCTCTGGTGAATGACTAATGCGCCAACAAAACTCAGCCCCTGAAAACTTGACTTATCGGAACAAGTTCCTCGGAAGTTTTGTATCGATAATACCAGCTTCGTGAGGGCGCAGTACAGTGCCAACATGCGAGAGAAATGCGCAATTCAGGTCATAGTAGTATACTTAATAACTGTTAAGGTCACGGCGGACTACTTTGCAGAGTTTTGTTCAATTGTAATATAGAACAGAGCAAACAAATCGCATATTCACAAATCGTACCAGGTCAAGAAACAACCCTCAGCTCCCTACCAAAACAGGATCAACACTCAACTCAGCAGTTTGGAAACCTCATTCTTCCAGCGTAACCCACCAAGCTTTTGCTCTCGCCACTTGCATTCAAAGCAAATTCCTCGTGCCACTTGTGCAATCAGCTCAAACCAGCCAACCCCTTCGCCTCGCCCCAACAGAGTTCCCCCCTCCCCATTCTTAGAGTAGAATCTGCAACCCTAATTTCAAATAATTATGATGCTAAGTCGAATCGCAGACATCTGCCCATCCCAAATGCGACGCCATTCCTTTCACGTTTGTGAGCTCACCTACAATTCACTTTCCCAAGCTGATCTTCGGCAAGTTTCTGCGCCATATGCTTCAATAACGCAAACGAAACTTTCAGATATGCATTCCGGCTTTGAGCCTCCTTTCAAATTCAACGGCGAGGTTTTCCTTGTAGGCAGCCTTGATTTGAAGATCATCATTCACCTCCAAATGCTACAATCCCTTTCAAAAACGCACAGCCTCAGTGGTGTAGGCCTTCCCTCTCGCCCGGGTCATCGACATTTCCATCGGGTTATCTCCAGTGACACCTATTGGAGAACGAAACCGACCAAAAATGAGAAATGAATGAAAGTAGATACGGCGTAGCTTGGTACGGAGTGCAAAGAATAACTCACACGCACCAGCATCATCGTTTGCAGCCACCGTTGCTGCGGCAGGGGTACACCTTCATATAAACCACCTGGAGCAGCTTCGACGGGAGAAGCCTTGGCGATTTTCGCCGCTGACTGTGGCGCAGAACCCGTCCCCTCTACAAAATGTTAGAGGGAAAGGGAATGAACAATGACCTCACGGGGACTACTTGATGTTTTCCTCTGGCATCAATGCTTGTTGTTTGTCATGTGGAATGCTCAACATTGAGGTTTCTTCAAGGAATCATCGACAGGTTTGCAGAAGGTATGCATGAGCAGTCCCTTGCAGGCTCGGCAAGTAAAGCACCAGCAAACGGTCAACATTGTTCATCCTCGCTATAGATTTAGGAGGTCCAATTATAAGAGGTCTTCAAAATGGATCATTTATCCCACTACACGCAGCTCATTATGTGGTCACAAACATTTCCAACAAATAATAGCTTAACATTTTTCCACCTAGTGAATTTGTACTGTGCATTGATCATTATATATGAAGCATACATATTAGCAATGACAACCATTTATCATTTTTCTTGGTCAGCCATACCAGTAACAGATTGAATAATCAAACCCACGCATCCTCGTCATATAACCATACATAACACCCAAAAACCAGTCATGTAACGTGCTAACAACTTATTTCGGGCCAGACAAGGTTGCTGCACCCAGCACCAACACATACGTAGTCAACACAAACATGAACCTACCGATATTTGATTATAAGAACTTCGCTATAATAATCTCAGACGCTTGACGTTGATCTTGGATATTGCTGATAATAAATACATTTCCACGCGCGGTTGTATTGTGCAAAACCAGGTACTCACAAGGTCGCAGTAGCCAATGCGTACTTCGAAAATAAAGACTCGCCTGAAAATCGACATCAATTGACCAGCGAGCGTGCTTGTAGCCGGGAAAATTTTACAGTAGAAACTGTTCGCCACAGCAGGCTCTTGATTTCGTGCCAAAGGGAGGTGGTAAGAGGAAAAACCGAAACTTATATTTCGATCGAGTATATGAGGCAGGAACAGACTAGCAACCAGAACACTCCTTGGTGAGTCTATGAACATTGAATCATGGATAAACAGAGCAAAATGGATTGAGTGATGAGATTTGGAAAAGTTTGAACAGCGAAGAGACGAAGTGAAGCATCTCGCACAACAAGAAGTGGAACCGTTCTCATTGGCGCAATTTTGGCGAAATGACTTGCGAAATTGATGGTGGTACATACACAATTTCACGGATAATTTTTGGCGAAGTGACTTGCAAATTAATGGTGACACATTTGAGCCACATCCGCGCTGTCGCGTTCGACTGTGACACTACAGAGTATAGGACACGCTGGTATATGACGCGTCAGCAACGTCTTATCCGATTAAAATTTTGCTATAGAGGCAGTTCTTATAACACCTCAAAGTTTCTACCAACTCGAATTCAAGATCAGCTTCAAGCAGTAATCTTTGTATATTCGGCGTATTGCATTGACACCATTGTACATCGAACAAAACCATACTGAATTCGCTCTGGCATCCCATTTTGGCACGTGCAGGTACAACTGGATGGAACCGCTCGACAAGTTTGTTGTTACGGGGACATACGATGCGGAAGGGGTCGGATACAATGTGCAAGGAGCATGACACGTATGCATTGCGAGTGCTGTGTATGCGCAATGAACATCCATTCCTAGCATTGTAATTTGAGTGTGTGTGCATTGCTTTGGCAATCGACTCAAGGCATGGGTGGGGCAAAGCGGGTTTCGTGCATGGTCGTTGTGGCGCCAAATTTTGTAGAGCCCCCCGCACCAATGGTTGCAGCGTTCGACACGACCTTGAAGCTCCGTCGAGCTTGCTATTTCCGTTGTCCGGAAGGGCGGCAGTCGGATGGAGCACTATCGGCTACATCATCGGATACACTACGTACGTGTGCCACCGTTGGTCAGAGATGAACTTGTGCTTGTCTTTGCTGGTGCAAGATGGCATTTTCCTCGTCTGCATATGCATCATAGCGGGAGGGACCAGACCATATAAGCATTGCCGCGCGGCATCATCGATGAGCAAGAATATAAGGATACAAAATCGTGTAGCTAGCCATACAATAGAAAAACATATCTATAATGTCCAGAGCCATAATAATAATGAAAGCAAGCGGAAGCGGTTCGACAACATAAAAACAAAGGGCTATATCACTACATACAAGCACGCCTTCATCCGAACGAAGTACACCACTACCGAAACCACGTACAACCGCATCAACGGAGGTCATGTGCTCGACTTCGACCTGCCTGACTGCAGGGCAACCTCTGACGAGCTCGTGGA